GAGTCGTCTCAAACGGCAGCTCGAAGCCTCTTCGCTCCATCAGCCTTCACCAGCGGCAGAAGCGCAAGGCGTGCATTCACGATTGTCGATCGTGCTCCAACCGCACCCTCTCACGACTGCATCGAGGCTGCATTCGGATCAGCTTTTGCTCCTTCTTCTTCTTCCTCTTCTTCTTCTTTTTGTTCTTCCTCTTCTCCTTCTTGCTCCTGCAGCTCCCGTCCAAGCATCGCATTCCGCTCCTGGCCCGCTCCAGCGTGGACCTTCGCCCTCCCACCCATCCTCTTGCCCCCTCGTCCCTCCACCTTCGCACCACCACTCTTTTCATTCTGCATCTGCACCTTTTCCTTCTTGTACCTAACGCTCTCCTCCCTCGCCAACGCCACCATTCTTCTCAGCGTCGACTTTTCCTTGTTGCTTTCCGTCGTCGACGATGCAGAAGTAGTGGCGGTGGAGGTGGAGGTGGAGGGGGTGGAGAGGGCATCCACACCTCTTCCGTACATCTCCAGCGCCTTGTGCAGTTTCGAAGCTGCGCTCGGATCGCCCGATCGGAGGCGGTCGATCAGGTGTCGAAGGACCAAGAGCCAGGTCCTATAAGAAGGCACATCCATTCCGCCATTCCTTTCCATCATCGCCTTTAACAAGCTGATGGCTCTCTGATCAAAGAGCTGCTGCGCATCGTTGATCAGTCGAGCAAGCGAAGCATCCAAAAGTGCCTCTCTGGTCCATCTAGGCATCAAGAGCGAATCCAACACGATGTGGTTCTGCGCTCTAGAAGGGATAAAGGATCGATTTCGCATGTGATCTCTCAACTTTAGCATGAACGCAGTCTGAGGCGCCACTTGCGCGATGCTTCCCAAAACATCCGTCGATTCGGCTTTGAAGCGCTGAGGCACGCTCTTCGCAAATGTCGCGGGAAACGTTTTCATGCATCTCGCAAAATCTGCCAGCTGCATCTTGCCCAAACCAGACATGATGGCGGTATAAGTGATGCCAGTAGGTGCAGGTCCATGCCGTTCCATGTCCAGCAACATCAGCAAAGCTTCTCTAGCCCGAGGCAGATGTCCACTCGCATTTTCGTCTCTGCTGCCCAGCACATCGAGACCCTCGGATTGAGCAGTGATGGGAGTCTGGTCGAACAGGGTGCACCTGATCAAGGCAGTGACGAGCTGCGCATTCAGCTCCACTCCCGTCTCTTTGATAATGTTCATCACGTCTTTTGTCGCGTTGGGATGTCCAGCTCTGAGCAGTCCATCGAGGATGGTCGTAAAAGTGACGACATCCGGTGCCACGCCAGCCGCGTCCATTTGCTCCAGCGTCTTGGACACGCTGCGCAGATCCTGCCTCCTAGCATTGGCACGTAGCAGTGTGTTGAAGCTTCCCTGATTAGGCCTCAAGTGCTCCGGTCCAGCAAGCATATCGTTGAAGAGCAAGTCCGCAGTCGATATCTGCCCATGCGTTGCAAGTCCATGCAGGACGGCATTGTATGTTGCAATGACGCAAAGACTGCTCCTGCGATACTGATCGAACAGTCCTAGAGCTTCATCCACCAATCGAGCTCTGAAAAGACCAGAGATCATGGTGGTGAGACCATGACTGTCTCTCTCTTGACCCTTCATCGAGTCCCACGTGGCCCTCATAGCTTCCCAATTGCCCATCGTTAGATAACCGGACAAGAGGCCGGACCAAACAAGTGCAGAAGGTCGATCGCCTCCTGAAGCGCGTACATGCGTGTCCCATGCCATCGCGGCTTCTTGTGGTCTTTTCAGCTGCAACAATGATCGAATCTGAATTGCCGACGTGGTGTCGGTCCAGTCGGCATTCGAGGTTCCTCGATCGCCTGTATGGTGCGTGAGGAAGCCCATCTCGATCGCTCTCCTGGCTCCCTTGCCAAGATCGTCGACTGCATTCCACGATTTCGTCTCTACGAGTGCTCCGAAGCGCCTTGCCAAAGCGTTGCGTACGGGCGCGCCTTGAATCTGCACATTGCTGGCCTCTTCCAGGGGTGGTGCATGCGCCGCAGTGCTGTGCTCTTCATCGCGAACCATCTCGCTTCCTGGCTCCTCCCCATCCAAACCCCACACTGCGTCCAACACAGGCAAAAGCTCCTTGGTTCTGGTAACAGCCTCTTTCAAAGCTTCTTCTTTCGGCCAGCTCTTGCTGGTATTCATGATCAAGCTCCATAGCGCTTGTTGATGAAGCGAAGATCTCCGAAGTCTAGCTTGACCCCTGGCCAAGCTCATCACAAATTCTGCTTCTCGTTTCGCCAACGTTCTCGCTTCCTCGCCCTTACTTGATCTCGAAAGCCTCGCGGCGCTGCTCAACAAGCAAAGGACGAGTGATTTTGCCAATTGAAAATCAAGGCCTAGATGAGGTCCCTGCTTGCGAATGTCGCCGAATTGGAGAGCGAAAGAGGTTAGGTCCAACGTGGGGTCGAGTCGCAAGACGAGTTGAACCCATCGGATTAGCTGATCTGCTGAAGAGGCAGTGGTGTCGCATGTGCGTAGGGCGTGATTAGTGAGAACGATGAGCGCATTCAGGCAGGGCTGCTGCTTGTCCACCGCTTCGGTGAAGAGGTCCAAAAGGGATGATTTTTCTTTCGGAACGAGCCTCAGGTCGAGATTGGGCGAGTTGAGAAGGCTGACTTGATCGAGCGAGGCTGAATCTGTCGGCAAGACGGCAGCTTCCGCAGCTTTCCAATCCTCTGCTATGATGGCAGATCTGATTCTCGTCGTCACTTCCGAATCATTTGGGCGGACCGCTGGCGCCCTAGAGCCGCCCGTGCTTGGACCTTGATTCCTGCTCTGACCCGACTCGGCAGGACCTCGCTTGTTCTGCTTTTCTTGCTTAGCCCTCGTTGTCTCTCGAGCCTGCAGCAAAGAGCTCTCCATCTTGACTCCCAATCGTAAATCGCTCGATTTGAACTGAGCTCGCTCGACTGGCCGCGGTGTGGCGCCACCGACAATCGAGGCGGCAGGAGCTCGGATCTTGAAGACGTCCTCGGCGACTGAGGCAGCAGCATGATTGGACTGTTGTGGAGCCGCTGTGGCCAGCACATGCTCGCTTGGGCCAGCTTGCCGCACCGAAGAATCTGAAGCAGCGCTCTCGCCTGCAGACTGGCCATCGTTTGCGGTGGTCTGGGCCGGAACTGGACTGGACGGAGCATCCTTGCTTGATGCATCTCGATGCTGAGGAGCTTCGTCATGAACATTGGCTGCACTATCTTGGAATTGCTGCCTGGCAGTGACGGAGCTGCCATAGCTTCGCGAAGTGGATGGAAGTGCCGAGGATGACGATGCCGCTGTGGTTGTGGCTTGCGATATCCATGATGGAAGTGCTGCGTGCCGAACAGCGATCCGTGCTCGTCTAGCCACCGCTCGAGCGCTCATGGCTGCAATACACCACGCCTTTGCTCGAGGCTAATAGGTGCCCTGAAATTCGGACATCGAGCGCAGTGGCTGGATGGATGAGCTTCGTGATTGACCAAAGAGTCAGGGTAGAGAGGCGTGAAAGGTGAGCGTTCCAACAACCGCGCGGCTCTCGACTTTGCACAGTCATGAGTGGACCCGACCGCGCGCGGCGCGCTTCGGAAAAGTCGAGCTTACTGTACGGTAGTTGCTGTGTTGCGCACGGCTGGCCGACTTCTTCCAATTGGGACTGGACTCACACTCGTGACTCGTGACTCGTGACGCTAGACTCGTGACTACTCGCGGAAGATTGTTCTAGAATGCGCATATTGGGTTGCTCCCCAAGGCACGATCGGAGCTCCTACGGTATGCACTCACACTCACTCACACTAGACTACAGCACTCGTGCTGGAAGCGGGGAGGCCGTGCGCGCTAGTTTGAGCTATGCCTCACCGCGGCACTCTGACTGACTCTGATCAATGAGAGTCGGGTGGGGTGACGTCTGCTGGAGTACGTACCGGTACAGGCACGAGTGTGAGCATAGTCGCAGCGCGTGCGCTGGGTGAACTGACCTATACATGTGGCAGCAATTAAGGTCTTGATGGGGAGTTTTTGTGAGCATTCACGATTCTTGATGTTTCTTGCTCGGCATCTGTCTCGCTACCCGATTCCTCTGATGCGCTATACCCATTCAGCCGTCGCACCACACGCGATCCCTGGGCGTCGGCACAAGCAAATCGTGAATCTTGAATATAGATCTCTCAACACAGGCACACGACTGCCCGGCCCGTCCTTTGGCTCCCGCGTACTCTGACTTGATAACACTTGCGCTCGTCACTGGTGCAGCCGCGACGCGTGCAATCTGAGCGACCGGTCATCCCTGCTCGAGCTCTACAACGAGCTTTCTTCCTGCTCCGTTTTGAGCGAGCAGCAGCATTCGCAATAGCGAGTGCGGCTCAGGGGACAAGCCTCGTCCGGCGCGCGTCAAGAAAGCGGCCCTAGCTTCCACCACACACACACCGCCCGTCGTGAACACAGCAGCACACACAGACGGGCCGTCCTTGCAGAGGCAGTCACCTACCTATTCTTTGCTTCCTAAGCTCAGCTCCATCTCATTTGCAACTGTGCTCGGGCGCCTCAACGACCGCATACAGCCTCTCATCCGCGCTTCAAGTCCACCATTAGCGCATCACCATTCACGCGGCGTCTACACCAGCTCACGTCCACATCGAAACGTCGTCACAGATCGCTCGTCTGCTCAACAAACCAAGCGCCAGCGGCCACAAAGTGCCATTTCACGCAAAGTTCACCGCACAAACGCCTTCCGTTGAAGCGCATTTGGAGTTTTGAATTGCAGCTCTATAAGTCTCCCGGCCCACATCCAGGAGACCCATCCAATTCCAGCTCGAGATTGCTAGCGCTCATCATAAACTTCCATCAGCGGCGGCATTTCAATGTCAGGACCCATTCAGACCGGTGCAGCACCGGCACTTGAGGAGGTGGGAAGACCGTCCGACGTCTCTACGCAATCTGGCTCTTCGCAGCGTCGAGGACCATACGGCAGGAGCGCGCAGAGAGGCTCTGTCATCGAAGGGTCCAGCAGATTTGGAGCGCGGCAAAGACCTGGTACAGCTAGCACCATTGGCAGCAACACAAGCTTTGCGAGCGCCGCCGATGGAAGCTTGACGGGCAGCGAGCAGAGTGCATCCACAGCGACGAGACTAGGAGCGGGTCTGTCCAACGTTGCAACGCTGAAGCCTTCTAGATCCAACACCAGCTCTTCCTCCGGCACCACGACGACGGGTCAACGTACCGGGAAGACGTTCGAGCAGCTCTTGGCCTCGGACGAGACCTACAAGTTGTCACCGGATGTAGGCGATACTCAGGACACGATGAGAGATGAGCCAATCGAAGACGCGGAGCCTGAGGAGGATGTCCCGCCTCGCTACTCGAGCACTCGCCATCGCGCGGATAATGATCAGGACGACAGGCTACCTGCGAACCAGGCCAAGACTTTCTTTGGTGGGGCAGGTCGGGGCTCCACTCACTTGAGTGCGGGTCAGGACCGGAGCTCGCCGAGAATTCCCAACACTTCTTACGACGCGCGCGAAGCGCAGAACTCGCCGGACTCGACAGGTGGTCGAGCACCACTGTCAGAGCAGACTCCTCGTCTTGGTCAATATCAGTTCGCTCCTGCAAGTACGAGTCAAACCCCCACTCCAAAGGAGAGCGCTCAGACTCCAGCACGTCCACCTCGCAATATCGAGCGAAATCCTAGTACGAGCACGCGAGCGAGCGCTACAAGTGGGAGGTATGCGACACCTCCGAGTGGAGGTGCTAGCCCGATAGCTAGTGCAGCAGAACTTTCCGCTCCAAGTATCCCCATTCACCCACTCAGTGGCTCTGCTAAGGCAAATTCGAGCTCAGCTGGAATTGCTAGAAACGGCGCCACCCTGACGCCTACTGGCAAAGCCAAGGCCGCTACTAGTCGGCACAACCCCACGCACATCGTCTCGGCTAACGAGTCTGGAAGCGGAAACGAGCTCAACATGCTTGCGCTCTCCTCTTTGCCACCTGCGACTGGTAACAGCTCTGCCGCATTGAGCCCAACTCCAAGTCGTACTCTCAATCCCACTGTCCCATTCCCGAGATCTAGTAGTCGGGGAGATCCGCAATCAACGGCGCGGTCGCCGGCCGCGACTGCCAACACAAACCCGACAGCCTGGTCAAAAGCAGCATTCCCAATCAGCCCAAGCGGCTCTAGCGTGGGGTTGGAACAAGAAGTTGGGCTAAGTAGTCCCGACCCGAGTGGCAGCGACAAGCCAGGTGGAACCTTTTTGAGCCAAAGGTTGAAGAAAACGAGTGGTTTCTTGAGAAAGCTTCGAGGAGACAAGGATCCAAAGACGGATGCAAAAAATGCAGCAAACGCCGTCAATCTGGCTTTGCCGCCTCTAGGACTACCGGTCGGACCCCATGCTTCGCTGCGAAGGAGATCCAGCAACAGCAGCTTTGTCTCGGATGGTGCTGCCAGTCAAGCACCCAGCACCAAGAGCGTTCCGACCAGCCGTGCTGAACATGCTCGCGCGGCTACAAATTACGCAGAGGAGCCCGTTCCATCGCTGCCAGCTAAGTGGGCTCAGGAGCAAAGCACACTCGGCAAGACACCTGGCGGGTTTGGGAGCCGCATGTCCAAGGCTTCGAAGAAGGAAAAAACAAGTCCGATTGGAATCGGCAATCCTCCTCTGCCCCTCGCCAAAGATGCACAAGCTCGTTCCGGTTCCGCTCCGCTGACTTCTGGTGGTCCTTCCAATGCGCAGCTCAGCGCCAATCAGCGATCCGCCTCTCACAACCTTGCGCAGCAGCTTCCAAGGCTCCCCAACCAAAGCCACAAACGGAAAGTGGATAGTAATGTCGGTGGGTCCACGTCCAGCGGCAGCGAAATGAGACACACTCTCAAAGCTTGGCAGACCCAAATGGACGAGACTTTTGCGGATTCGGCTAGAGATCTAGACACCAAGACCAAGATTGCTGCACCGCTGCCTTCCTGGACTCCCAGTCCCGTTTTACCGGATCTGCACGGCATTGATGCCAACACCTCCAGGTCAGGCAGCTTCATGGGCGATGAGGATGAAACAAAACATTGGAGTCAACCGGCCACCTTGGACGGTTTTGATCGCCGTGGCAACAATAAGGGCTCTATGAGCGGCGTCAGGACAGCTGATGCCATTCTCGGGGCCGTAGAGACGCCGGAGGGCTGGGCAAGATCGCCGACCAGCTTCAAGCGATCGCCAAATCTCCCTCTTGGCAAGCGTACCGCCGGTAACGTCTCGCCTGGGCGTGGCTCGTTTGAAGTGACTGGACCGAACACCACCGCATCCGCATACGCGCTTGAACCCAGGCCTCGGAACGCATCGGCGCCTGGTTGGACACACGAAGTGGATGCGTCCTTGCCCAGCTCTCCGCAGATCCTAACAACGCCGGCTGATGTTGAGGACGACGGCGTGGTGGATACGCAGCTTCGGGGTCATGGCAAGCGCTCGGAGAACGTCTCGACTCAAAGCGCAAGGAGCTTCGAAACCGCCGTCGATCCCGGATCGCTCTTTTTCAGGAGGGCAGATTTGCAAGCTAGAGCGAATGCTGCAGGTACAAAGGACCCCCCGCCGCCAAGATCTCCTCTCCTCGATGGTGCTGCTGCCGCCGCTGCTAGCTCCTCACCGGATCCTGATGAATCTTTGGATGCCGAGCATTCGATACGCCTAGTACCTCAGAACGAGGACTATGACGAGCCCACCACGCCGACCGAGACGGAGCCTGGAGCAAAGGGAAAGAAGACGCATGCGAGGGAAGTCTCGGACTTGGGCCCTCTGCCCTCCAGTGCGCTGACTGTTGCGTCGAGTCAGCGGCGCGCTGGACGGGCTTCCCCATCCGGAACGCCCGCAAGCAAATTGGCTGCCCTTCCAGCTGAACTCGCCAGCACCAAGAGTCCACGCCGAAGTGCCAGCAGCAGCGTGAGCGCTACTGCGATGGATTCAACGGATCCTGCGGTGGATATCGAGGCGCAGGCGAAAAGGCTCGCGCAAGCCTGCTGGGAGGAGGACGAGTCGATCATCAAGCGCGAAAAGGTCGCTGAAAGTCTAGGCGGCTTGGGATTGGTCAAGTCGACGGCTAGATCGCTCTACATGACCAATTTTGACTTTACCGGACTTCGCGTGGATGATGCGTTTCGAAAGCTGTGCGACAAGCTCTTCCTTCGCGCAGAGACGCAACAGGTGGACCGAATCCTTTTTGCGTTCAGCGAACGATTCTGGGCTTGCAACCCCTTGCCTCTCTACACGAGCGCGGACGTGGTACATTCGCTGGTCTTCTCCTTGCTCCTGCTCAACACCGATCTTCACGTCGCTGATATTGTCGAGAGGATGACACGCAACCAATTTGTGCGCAACACGCTCTCGGCCATCAGCGAAAGCGCAAGGAACGAAAGCTTCACTTCGACGAGCAGTCATCCAAATGCAGACGACTCTAGAAGCAGTCTCAATGTCACCATTGACAGTTCGTCGGGAGTCGGTACGCCTTCAGATGCGCTAGGCTCTTCGAGCCTCAAACGCAAACCCTCAAAAGGCGGTAGCAGTGTCAAGTCGGCAGGATTTCATGCTGCTGCGACTGGAAGCTCGCACACTGTCGGCGCAGGTGGTGACTCGACGTCTGGCAAATACCCGCCATCCGCGTCTGGAGCGGCGCAAAGTATTGGCAAGAAGTCGAGCCTAGAGGGTAACACGGCAGCCAGGTCACGAGCTTGGGAAGTGGAGCTTGAAGGTCTGCTCAAGGTGAATGACCGCGATGTGGTTGAGCTTGTCGAAACATCCTTGAGCTCACGCGTACCATCTGCTCCTCGTTGCAGGAAATATATGCGGCGGTCAAGAGCGACCAGATTAGACTGCCTACTGCGGAAAGCAAGGATGCCCTCAGCCCCATGCTCACTGGAGCTCAGCGCCGAACCCTTCGAGGCGGCAACACGCTCACCATTGGTTCCGAGCGTGTGAGCGCACTCAAACGCGGTAGTATTCGGGGAATCCAAGGCTTACTTGGCACCAGCAGTTCTACGCTGCTTCGAAGTGAGGACAACCTGAGCTTGACGCCGAGCAGCTTCGAATCTCGATCATTTGCGGAGAGCGGCTTGACACCTGCTAGCTCCGCACTGAGCTCTCCAAATAGTCAATTCCCAGTCGCTAGTGCCGCTGTGGAACGCGCAACGCCTTTGACCTTGGGCTTCGCAAACACGCTTTCTCACAGCATTGTCAAGGAGGCGAATGACGAGGACGACGCCACGAGCGATGCCAGCTTGAAAGATGACGAGCTGAGTGACGAGGAGCTGGCGCTCATGGGTCCACCCTGGGCCAAAGAAGGCATGCTGAACCGAAAGCATTATTGGGAAGGCCCGCAGAGACGCGCAAAAGACAAGAATTGGCTCGAAGTCTTTGTCGTTGTACAAAAAGGTCTGTTTTCCGTATTCCGCTTCGGCGCCGTCAGCGGTTCTACTTCCAAAGCTGCCACTGCAGTTGGAGGAGGCAATTGGCTGTCCAACGCTACGCCGCTTGGGGACTTCTCCTTGGCCCACACCCTGGCGAACGCACTCCCTCCGCCTGGATACAACCGTGCACGACCGCACGTCTTGGCTTTGACGCTGCCTACTGGCGGCGTGTACTTCTATCAAGCCGGTCATGAAGAGTTGGTGCAAGAGTGGGTGTCCACCTGTAATTACTGGGCCGCCCGACAAAGCAGAGAGCCTTTGGGAGGTGCCGTTGGCAACATGGAATACGGCTGGAACAAGGTGCTGCCTAAGAGCCAGTACGATTTCGACGACGAGGAGGATGGCGAGCGCGGTACGCTGGACGACGAACCACGCGAATCCATGGCACAGAGTGTACACGGTCGTCCAAGTCATGCGGGCAGCTTGGGGTCGATGGACTCGCTGAGCGTGACACAAGCCACCCCTGCGCGTTTGGGCTCTGCCCCTCCCGACGCCAGCATCTACTCTACGCTCACTGCGTCGTCGCGCAACCAGGCTGCCGGTTCATCTGCGAGCGCAGTCGCGAGCGATAACCGCAGCATTCGAAGCGGACGCTCTGGACGATCGGGCCGAGCGAAGATTGGCGGGTCCCTGTTTCAAAATTGGACAGACGCTGCAGCTTCATTGGCACCTGGTACCGCCAACGGCTCACCAGGTCTGTCTGTGAAGGGCACGTCGGGTGGGTCCAGCGTCTTTTCGAGCGCAGGGACTGCCGGTGTCCACGCAAACGAACGCATCTACATCAACGACTGGAAGGCGCCTATCGCACCAACCACGCAAAGCACGCTCAAGGAAGAGGAGCAACTCGAGGCTTGCCTTCGCAGAGTGGCTACGATTGAGAAGGAGCTGGAAGAACACAATGCGTTGCGAGAGCCGATGCGCTTGCTTTACAGTCCCAAAGGTAACAACCATGCTAAAGCGCTTCAGAATTGGCAAACAAAGAGCCAGTGGTTGCTTGCAGAGTGAGTATTCGCGGTGTCCATCTCGCCCGCTCAAGGGAACCTCTATGACTGACACGGTGGCTTTGCATCAACGCTGCTCTAGGCTCACCAAATTTCAGGTGTATGTCGAATCACTGCGCGCGGCTGCCAAGTTGAGGGCTGAGAAGAGCGCTGCGAGGGCGGTGGAGAGCATGATGAAGCGAGCTGATGCGGTGAACCAGACGAGGCCGGAGGAAGAAGGTGGGCCTGTGCCCTCTAGCGCTTGAGGCGAGCAGCACGCCTGCCTACACGCTATCAGCACCTCGCATTCGCGAGGCTGGCCGCGCGCAACCGAGGAGCTGAGGAACGACCTGACTGGTTTGACTGCGTGTCCGGCTGCGCAACGCGGATCTGTACGTCACCATCACGAAACAAACACGCATTGGTAACGACTTTGTTCCATTCATGATTGACATTGACATTTTGGCCTTGCAAGTCTTGAGTGATGCTTGTTCCAAGCCGAGGCGCACCGCGTATGTGTGTCACGTGCTTCGCGCTCAGACGTCTGCCCATAAACACGCCCTTTCATGTGGAGAGTGTCTCCTCTCCATGACATTCGTCATCATCGAGTGTGTTCAGGTGTGAGGTGTGACGACATTTCTACAACTTTGTACAGCGCCCGATGCAACGAAATCGCGTAGACATGGAGCTGATGCGGCGCCAATCCGAAGAACACTTTTCGGGTGCATGCAGAGAAGAGAACGACGATCCACGGCTGCGCGTGCTTGTCATGGAAGCGGCCCATTCAAGGCTTGGCTGACGCTGTCAGGAGTCACGAGGTAGAGTAGTGAGTACGAGCGTACTGTGGATGTTATACGGAGGATTGCTCTTTGCTCATAATCAAGACTTAGTCTTGCTTATGTCGAAGGCCTCGTGAGGCTTGACAGGTACGCCAACGGGCACCACTTCCGATCGAGCTCCTTGCAGAAGAACACGAAGCGGCATGCATGCTTGATTGAGCCTTGATGGTTCGTTCGGTACAGACGCTCATCGTCGTGCTCCACCCCGACCTCTCACCAAATCGCTAGAGTAGGGCGAGGATGTTGAGTCCCCATGCACATGCACATCTTCCTGCGCATGCCCTCCGACCACGACGCACACAAAGAGACCTACCTGCACGCGCCTTCGACTCACAGACCAAAGTCCGTATAGGGCCGCCGCAATACGGATTTCGTCCCGTCAGGCGTGTGGCTGACGTTCCATGCGTGAAGCTGGGGTCCCAATTCGAATCACGAATCTAATGTGCACTTACTCCAGCTCTGTGTCAGGCTGAGCAGCTCAGCATTCAGCACCCAGCATCTATCTGCATCTACGGGCGTGTCGTACAGCCGCCTGCCTGATTTCCACATCGCAGCCGTCCTGCTCGATACTCACGTTGCCCGCGTGCCCGCTACATCCGCTGCGAGTCAAGGCTATTTTGTATGCGCTATATGCACCAATCGTGAAGTAGGAATCCAGTCGAGGTGAGTCACGTCGCAGCGAGAGCCAGCAGCGCGGAGGTTTTGGTCCGCGTACACGCGAGCTCTCGTTCCGAAATCAACGGCCAAGGGCACCCTCACAAATCATATGTTGCTCCTTCTTTGGCACCAATCATGTGACCTCCCTTCGCTGTGATCTTGCGACAGATCATTCGCAGATTCTGGACAGACCAGGATTTGGGCTATCTTTACTTTCCTTTTCGCTGGGCCATCTTGGCATACCCAATCATGCAACTGAGCTTTAATAACAGAGAGTTTTAAAGCGCACGCATGTAGCTAGCTGCACCCTGCATCGTTGTCGCTCAGACGCAGCAAAGCCAGGCGGAAACCTGGCACGATCCCAGTCAGCAACCCTCGCAAGTGGCAGCTGTACAGCGCAAGAGAAGCAGCGAACAGTCTGCAGATGCGGTACATGTAGGTGCCCATGCAGATTCAGGACTCGAGGCCCGCGCCGTGGCTGGGACGAGCACAGATTCTGTACGGTTCAGGTGCAGTCATGAGTATGATGGTGGGCTCTGGTGGCGCTTCTGATGAAAAGAAGGCAAGACAGTCTGCCTTCTTCCTGCCTTAAACTTTGGTCGCGAGGCCCGGGTACGAGACGATTCGAGACAGGCTACGCAGCGACGAGCTGTCTTCAGGCACAGCTCCTTTCAAATCGCCATCATGGCCATTACGAATCGGGGTTCAGAATTATTAGCCCCAAGCTACCGCACTACTGCATGGCTGCAAGAGTCACACAGTCAGAGCGCAGTAGTCTGACCGCGTGCTCGTCAGGATGAGTCCGTATGTAAGCCTCCCACAGGGCCAGCCGCCGACTGAATGGAAGGGTCCCCGCAGAATAAGACCCTGCTGCACGGCAGCTGCTTCTTGCGCTGGTAGCAACCTGCTCGCTCGCTGCTCTCCTGCCGCTCCCTCGGCAACCAAAAGGTCTGCAGAGCTGCTATCTGCGTCGTCGTACTACTACTGTAGTTGTAGTTGTTACTCACGACTGTAGAATTAGAGTCTTGAGTGCTGCAGCATACACCCAGCAAGCTCATGCGAAAATTTGCAAGTGCCCGGGCATGCCCGCTGAGCAACCTGCTCCTTAGATGCGTGAGTAAGCTGATGACTGCTGATGCATTCTCACCCATTATTGCCCATATTCTGCTCGACGCGTGATCGCACCGTGGCTGAACCCTGCCTTGCCGAGCAGCTACCTGGCGCGCCATCCGATCGAGCCATCCCATGAAGCTTGCTGCGCTACCCGCACCCTCCAATCGGCAGTCGCGGTGTCTGTGGCACACTTGCACAGGCGTCTGCTTCAGACCTTTACGCCCATCATTGTCCTATTCTTTCCCTCTCTCCCCCTCTCAGTCCTTTTCCTTCTGTCAGGGCTTCGGCCCGCCTCGCTTGTACGCGCACTTCGCTGCCTTGGTTCAGCGCTCGCGATCACTTACCTCGCGCTTCAAGTGACAGTGTCCACCCAACAGTCGACCCAGCTCAGCACACAGTCATCGCGTACTACGCATAGACAACCGTTCTGTCTTCGACCCCCACACCAACCTCTGCCGATATGACTGACGACACACTCGCAGATTTTGGGCTGGCATCGCGGCCTTCTGAGGGAGATACCCCGACCGATTCGAACTTGTCTGCAAGCGAGCTCGGTGGCTCATCGGACAACAGCTCGCCTACAGATGAGGCTTCCGTCAAAGCCCCAGTATCTCCTACACGGCAATTTGAGCTGGAAAATACAGCCTCCGATAGCTCTCTGTCGTCTTCACGGGACCAAAAGTTACTGTTCTGCTCCTTAGCTCCAAAGAAGCCAGACTTTGAAGACGAGGAGGAATGGGAACGGTTCTTTGCGGCTTACAGAACAGGTCGATGGACGGACTGGGCTGATGCTGCTGCTACCTCAGGAGCAGGGTCTGCGGCTCTGTTGCCGTTAGAGCCAGCACAAAAACTTGTGTATGATCAAGAGGGACACTTACTCGAGCCTCGCGGTGAGTAACAGTGGACGATGCGTACTCGTAGTACGATCTGTACGTCAATTTGCAGCGCACTCATTCATGCTACTGTTGGCTTCAAGAATTTTACCGTCGTCATGGATATCTGGCTCCTCCCTCTGTCCCATCTGTGCAGCGTCTGGCGCGCGAATATGCTGGGTGAGTGGTTGAATCTCGAGGCAACACTTGTCCATGCCACGATCACCTCCATGGCTAACATCTCTGAGGACTTCCATAGCATTCGGCACAGCTGCTCATTGCCCAGACGCAACGTGAAGCGGCATACAGCTGATCGCTATGCACGACACGCCAAGGCGGTGTTTAGAGCAGCGGCCGCAACAGTCACAGTGGCATGCGCTCAGACGACCGAGCCCAAGATCCTTTTCCTTGGTCAAGCAGGATGGCTTGCAGATAACGTGATCCGGGCGAGTCAGACACTTTGCGCTCATGCCATGCTGAGTCCACGTGCGGTCGTCTGCATTCCGGACCTTGACGCGGATTGGCGCACAGTCGGCCTGCAACCGAGGGATTCACGGGGCCAGCGGGTCAGATTCTACGCTTCAGCTCCTTTGGTTGTGTCAACGCCTGATTCGGATGGACCTGCCAGTCAGCAAGTCTGTGGCGGTCTGAGCAAGGTAGAGCTAGGCCGGCTCACCATTCTAGGAACTGAGCCACGTTCGGATTTCAGTGAGGACGACGCACGTGTGTTGCAAGACATCGCAGAGATGATCAGCGAAGCTTTAGAGCACGAGGCCAAACATTCTCAAGTCCAAAGAATGAAGAAGAATCAGATCGCAATCGCACAGTTGGCGCGCGACACAGCCGACGATGTGGACGACATGGACCGTGATGACATGCAAGAAGACCAGGAAATGCTTGGACACCAGCACTTCACATCTTCATCAGCTGCCAACAGGTCTGGTCACGTTCGACCGCGCAGATTGCAGAAGGTGGCGAACTTGGTCCGATCCACTTTTGAAGCGAGCGCAGTGTACGCTATTGATGTCACATCTGCTCGCATCACCTCACATCGAAGATCCTCCACCTATGGGGAGGGCCCAATCTCTGGTCGTCCTGTCACAGACTCTCCCCACTCCGCCAGCAGCGCTGCCTACCCGCAAACGCCCTGGCTGCATTCGTCGGGCTCCAGCGGCCCTCAGACCACACCTCTTACACCTTCGTCAACGGACGTGCACGCGCACTCCTTGTTCCCCGACGTAAGCTCTTCCTCTGTAGCAGCTGACATGAACACTGTAGCAGGTGCTCCGCCCCTCTCTGCCCTCTCGCCAACGTCTTCTACCGGTTTCTCAACCCGTCGTCCAACACTGCGACACCAGGTGACCAACTCTTCTTCTGCGAGCGGCAGCGGTCTTGGTTCGGGCTTCGTGCCATCTAGCAGCAGCTCGACGAGTCACAGGCAGTCGTGGTCTGCAGCGACCGCCCATCGGATCTCGCATGCCAGCCAAGGCAGTGACGCGTCTTCCGGCGAATACTCTGGCCATACAAGCGTCGATGCAAGTAGCCAGACCAGCGAGCTAGATTTCACTTGCTCTTTGGTCCCAGACAGCAGCTTCCAATTCCTGGCACTGGCTGGTCGGCCCGAACGTGTGCACGAGCTAGACATTCGGTCACATGAAGCTCAAAGTGCGCTGTGTCAATACATGGCTAGCCGCAGAGAGCGCTCGGATCTTGACATTGACATGCACTTCGGCGCCGTGCCGCTGCACGACGATATCCTTCACCCTAATCAGGACGCCCTCTACTCGGATGCGCTTGAGCCCTTGTGGGCTTCTTCGGGACGACAACCAGCCACCGCCCTGACAATGCTGGTTTTTGATCACGACCGGCAGCCCACGTACCTTATTCTCGCTTGTTTCGACGAGGTACGACTCTTCGATGCTGGCGATTGGGGCTTTGGCCGCGCCTGTATTGCTGTTTTGTATGCTTGCGTTCTGCGCGACAGCGCTCGCATGACTTCCAGGCAAGAGTTGCAATTTGTCAGAAGAGTGCAGCACGAGCTGAGGACGCCTTTGCACGCGATCTTGGGCATCACGGACTTTTTGCGAGGCATGGCAGCAAGCGCGGGAGACGAGGGCACAGTGCAAGACTTGGACCACGAGATGCTCTCTGACCTGCTGCAAGCTATTCGCTTGGCGGGGACCAATTTATCATCCATCCTCGACGATGTCCTCGATTTGGGAGAGGTGTCAGGCTTGAAGTCAAATACGAGCACCAAAAATCGCTCCGCGCAAAGCAATGAGCCAAGCGGCAAACCAGCTCTAGATACTCGTACAGAAGAGGTTTGTCTGCGCAGTGAAGTGGAGGAAGCTGTGGAGAACGAGCTTCAGATGGTGGAGATGAACAATCGACAGGACACTCAAATGGACGAGACCGTCCCCGCCAAGGGCCCGCCCATCGTCATCATCGATATTGCAGAGTCAATCGGCAGGCGATGGCGCATTGACCGCGCACGCACGCTAAAGGTCATCCGAAAGATTGTCAACAACGCAGTCCGCTTTAACAGGGCTGAGGGTGGACTGGTTGAGTTGACGATCACACCTCGACGTGATGCTCCCAAACGCAGGCAGCAAAATGAAACGACCCGAAAAGTTGACGTACTAGTCGACAGCGCAAGACCGGCTAGCAGCGACGGGGAGGTCATGGTCGACTTCGCCATCGAAGATACTGGCGTGGGTATGACAAATGCGTTCTGCGCTCACGATCTGGTGCGACCTTTCTCTAAACGCGATGGGTTCTCGCAAGGCATCGGCCTGGGTTTCACGATTGCTTCCGCCTTGACTTCTCAAATTGGCGGTTACATCGACGTCAAGAGCAAACTCGGGGTCGGCACAATCGTGACCGCCACCTTGCCGCTACTTCCTGTCCCAACAACGGAAGTTGCCTCTTCAGCCGCCTCGCCTTATTGTGTTTCCAAAGTCTGGTTCGGCGGCTTCTCTGGCCATGCCTTAGAGCGCGCACAGAGCTTCATTATGCGTCGACTGCAGACCGGCGGAATACAGCTCGTTTCGCACATGGAAGAAGCTGGATTGTGGATTTTGTCAGAAGGTGCCTCTCAAGCGTTCTGTGCGCTCCACGCCGGCACAGCTAGACAACAGAAGCCGCGCGTCGCGGTACTTGTTTCCAGTCCTACGGCGCCGATCAAATTAACTGAGCACCTCGAAACTCTTCAGGTCCCGGTGGCCGTCATGCGAGCTCCTCTCTGTGGGACGCTGCTCGCCCGTCTGGAAATGTTTTTGAGAGACAAGTCTCCCACCATCATTCGTGCACCTCAACCGCATCTGCCTCTGCAAGAGCACCCAGAGCTTGCCCAGGGGACGAATGCTGTCGCGCACTCCGTCGAGGGCGCGGCGGTCACTTCAAGCCCCCTTTCGAGTGCGACCGAGGTGGCTGTACAATCCTCAGCGCCCGAAAGCGTTGCGGAAAGCGGCGCTTCGTCTACATCTACTAGCCAAGAGGGTGCTGAACAGGCGGTATCCTCGAAAGCGATCTCGTCCTCTCCAGGCTCTGTGACTTTCTTGGAACCTGCTCCTGTAGATGCCTTCGCTCGCCCCTCCTCGAACCCTTCGGTCAATTCGAGCACATCCCCAGCATACCGCGTGCTGCTCGTTGAGGATAATAGCGTCAACATGAAACTCTTGACGACTATCGTCAAACGACTCGGATTACCCTACGAGGAAGCCCATGATGGCGTCGAAGCTGCGGAGCGCTTCGTCGCATTTGAGCCTCAGCTGGTGCTCCTTGACATGTCAATGCCGCGCATGGACGGCTTTGAGGCGGCGCTCCATATGAGAGCCCACGATCTGCAACCCCGCCCTCGCATCGTCGCCATCACTGCCCTGTCATCTCCGGCAGATCGCGCGCGGGGCTTGGAATGCGGCTGCGACGAATGGCGCACCAAGCCACTCTCCATTCGAGCCCTCAAAATCGACCTAGAACGGTGGTGCGCCGATCATCAAAGCCTGATAGCCTCTGAGAAAGCCGTAGACAAGCACCAGCCTGGCCAGCAAAGCGTCGCCGCATGACTGTGCGCGGCGAGCGTCTGAGCCACCTTCTCTCCTAGACTTCGCCGCGACTCTGGTTTGCCCAAATCTTTCCAGTCTCTTTGTGTCCCTTTTGGTCTGACCCACCTTGATCCCTTCCTCGCCCCCGGCACCAGACCCAGACTTCTCGCCTTGTTCACATAGTCATCCATGCATGCATACGCACCATTGCCCCGGAACCTACGTTGAAGTAGGAGTAGCGCAACGTACACGACGGCGCTATCACTCGAGCCTACCCTTCTCTATGCAGACACAACGCACTCGATTCGAGAATTGAATTTGCTGATTGCACAATCAAAAGAACTTGATCCAAAGCACGAACAGTATCAAGAACGCGACTGCTCCGATTCTGAGCGAATAACAATGCGCATGGTAGAGCAGATTGCGGTCGTAGGTGTGAGCACGTTGAGCAGTTTACACTCCCTTGGCAAGACCGAGGCATTGGCCATCATTTGGCTATTGGCACACTTACGGGGCATATTGACGGATGAGAGCGTCGATACGGATCTGCTTGGCAGCCTTGCGATACTTGAGGGATTCGTCCCTCAATGATGAAGACATGGTTGACATCTCTGTCCGAGTATGCCATAGAAGGGTCAGCAGACCTAACAGCTGTCGCTGACAGCCCGAGTGCGTGAGAGGTACTCACGATCTAGCGTCTCGCCTCTCCATAGCAAATCCTCCATGTTCTTGGTCATGACGGAGGCACTAAGAGTAGTGAAAGCGTTTTTGTTAGGACCAAATCCTCACGCCCGACGCTCGCCATGCCAGACTCACACATCCTGCAGATCTTCGTTCAATCTGCTCAGATTGCTCCCGCTCTTCTCCTCTACCGCTGATTGGGCCGTCCTGGTATCCGCATACAATCGCTTTGTTCTCTGCATGAAAGTGTCTGATCGGATCACGACATTATACCAAATATGCCAGAAACTCTCATTAAGTGGGACCGTTCCCTGTGCCATTGCAGAACAGATACTGCTAGCGCATGGATTTACTCACCAAACCCCACGAACGCGAAAGGTCTCAGATTCCTCTGGCCCACCTGCGCTCCGTACGACCTTTCAAATTCCTTGGCGAGCTCATCGAGATAGGAAAAGGCCAGCTTTCTTGGATAGCTCCTGTCAGTGATGACGAGAAATACGACCGCATCGGGCCTGCCGGGAGGGACGGGCGAGATCTGGTAGTGGAGGGTGTACTTTGGACCGCTCTCGATCGTGCATCTTGGCTCTGCTTGAGGTGAGATACGCCTGAAGAGCAGCTTTGCTTGTTGCTTGTACTCGGAGAGCGCACTGTCGACTGCACTATCGTCCACTGACTGAGCGAGTGGCAGTCCATCCGAGACGCGCGCAATCTGCGTCGAGAGTACCATTTTCGTGCGACCCGCCACTGGCGTCGCCTCGTCTGCGATGAATTGGTGATGCCGATTGGAAGAACAATTCCGGCTGATAAGCCTGCGTATATGCCGTTGTGTAGTGGCCGCGGGCGCTTAAAGCGATGATTTAGAAGAAGGACTAAGCGGGAGACTCGCAATGTGTCAATGAAGATGGTGAGCGGCATGAGGAATCACTGAATGGACATTCAAACGATTCAGCGGCGGCTGCTTGCTATAGCTGTGCGTGTTGTGGTCAAGTCTCGAGCGGGGCCGCCGGCGGACACGTGACTGCGATCCACGTCAAAGCTTAATAATTTGAATGCATGCTTTCAAGGTTTGATTCAAACAGATTTGAAGCTTCGAAGATGGATAATTGCATTTGACCGATGCCCTAATGGACTCGAGTTTCAGGTTTCCGCATCTCGGAAACGTGTTGTTCTTGATTACTTCGCTCGGTCACAGAATTTGAAATTCCTCGCTATGGTCTCCCTCGCGCGCATGGCTGTGCAAATCGCGAGCTGCATGCGCAGGGCTTGCTTGGGCCAGCCGGCCAGCAGGCTGGCAGAATGGCCGCATACAGCACGCAGCGCACGCAGCACGGATGGCGAATCCCTCGCACAAGCCACACATCATCAACAGCAGACCGCTGCGTGACCGGGTGCGGCGTGAGATGCAGGTATGTATCGCTTGGTCGATCGAACTCTCCATCGGCAGCAGGACAGCTGTGAGTGGCGCATGGGAGATATGCACCGCACCGCAAGGTGCGCAGCGTGTGCGAAGCATTGACCAGCTACACCTCGTCAGACTTCCTGATTGGAGCTGCTTGTGGCCACCGTCATTCGCTTCACTGGCCCCGCACATCACTCATGCTCTGAGTACCAGTAGCATCTGAGTACCGGGCTTCGGCAGCAGCATCGCGATCATCGTTTCTGGCAGAATCAGAAAAGGCTACTCTCTGGCTCTCTGAAACACAGCACAGCGCATCGAGCAGGACCCATTTCAGTACGGTCTTAAGAAGCTTTTGGAAAGCGCGACGGTCTCTTGATTCAGTCCAAAGTGGGCTGAGTAGTCATGTGAGTAGGTGATGAGAAGCATGCACTCGTAATCGCGCTGACTCCCCGTATCCCCACCCAGGCCGGGCTTCAACGACCATGTGCCCACGCGGCCAATCGATCGTGACAAGGCTGAGATGGATCTCAACGTTACCATAAAGAAGGCAACTTCTGTGGACGAAACCGCTCCCAAGCAGAAGCACGTTCGGAGTGAGTACGATTCGATGGATCACAGTCATCCCTGTCCACTCATCTGATCGCATATTTGTCCTCTCTCCATGCAGAATGCATCATGTACACCCACGACTATCACACCTCGCAGTCCCTCTGGAATGGCTTGAGGGTGCAGCCGATCCTCTCTGATGAGGTGCAAACCTTCAAGGCGCTCATCTTGGTTCACAAAGTGCTGCAGGAAGGGTTTCCCATCGTGTTGCGTGAAGCGCAAGCGCAGGTGGGATGGTTCGAGACATGCGCCCGTACAGTTGGAAGCGACAGCCTTCGAGGTGAGTCGTGCCCTTCATCGACTTGGGCTAAGCGCCGCCATTACTCATGCTGTTTGCTTCACCAGGTTACGCACCTCTCATCCGCGCATATGTCAACTTTATCCTGGCTAAGCTGCGTTTCCATAGGCATCACAAGGAGTTCAATGGGCTGTTCGAGTACGAGGAGTACATCAGTCTGAAGAACATTGACAACCCAGACGAAGGGTAGGTTCGAGCAAAGCTAGCAGCAGAAGCAACAGCTGACCCTACTCCTCGCTCACTCCTTCACTACCTTGAAGATACGAAACAATCATGGATTTGATGAACCTGCAGGACCAGATCGAGCAGTTCCAGAAGCTCGTCTTTGCACATTTCAAGGGCTCTGCCAACAACGAGTGTCGCATTAGCTCCCTGGTGCCGCTCGTTAAGGAGTCTTATGGCATCTACAAATTCCTGACCTCGATGCTGCGCGCAATGCACAGGCGCACAGACGCCATGGACGCATTAGAGCCGCTCCGAGGTCGCTACAACACGCAGCACTACGCACTGCGTCGCTTCTACTACGAGTGTGCTAATTTGAAGTTCTTGACTAGTCTCATCAATGTACCCAAGCTCAATCACGATCCGCCCAACCTCTTCGACTCGCCCGACGAAGGCCCAGCCTTGCCAGCTCGGTCGACGAAGCCTGCAACGCCGCCCGGTCCCTCTCAGTCCGAAATCGACGAGCAAGCGAGGATGTTGAAGGAATATGAAGACCGTCAACGCGCTCTGCAGGAAGCTGAAGAGGCCGAAAAGCGGCGCAGAGCGGATGAGGCTGCTCGCCAGCAGCGCGACCTAGAGGAGCAGCAGCGTTTGCAAGCAGAGCGTGAGAGGCAAGCGCAGGAGGCATTAATGAGAGCTCAGATGGATCAGATGGCTGGTGGCCGAGCTGCAGAGCTCGAGCGGGAAATGCTCGCTATGAGGGGGCAATACGAACGCGACCAGCTGATGCTAGAGCAGTATGACAGGCGTGTCAAGGCGCTAGAGAATGAGCTGGCTACTATCGGACAGAATGTCAATGCTCAACTCATGAGCAAAGACGACCTCCTTAAACAGCTGCAAGATCAGGTCACTCTCTGGCGCAATAAGTACGAAGCCCTGGCAAAGCTCTACTCGCAGCTGCGAACGGAGCATCTCGACATGCTTGCCAAATACAAGCAGATGCAGATTAAGGCTGGCTCAGCACAAGAAGCCATTGACAAGATGGAGCGCATGGAGCGCGACGTCAAGGCCAAGAACCTTGAGCTGGCAGATATGATTCGAGAGCGTGATCGTGCGCGCTTTGACTTGGACAGGATCAAAGCAGTGCGTCAAAGTAGTTGATCATTGGCATCCATCGCGCCGCAATTGCTCACCTCTGCCTTTGCCATTTTGCAGAGCCAAAAGGAAGAGTTCGACAGGCTCAAGCGTGACCTCATGTTTGCCAATGAGCGTGCTGAGGATGCAACTCGAGCCAAGAGCTCAGAGATGTCTGGCATCATGGCCACGCTCAATCGCCAGATCGCGGAGCTAGAAGACGAGCTGCGCAACAAGCGTGATGGCGGCGACGACCTGCGGCGTCAGCTGCATGACAAGGACGCGGAGATCGCAAGGCTTACAGAGGAGCAAGCTGCTGAGCTCGCTATTATGCAAGAAGGCATGGATGAGACGATCAAACAGATGCAAGAGCTCAAGCTGGGTCAAGGCGTGCAAGACGACGCTGTTAATGCGCAGATCGATACCCTCATCTTGGACAACTCGAAGAAGCTCAATGCTATTATCGATTCTATTCTGCAGGTGAGTGGCGCACATCATTGTCGAGATGTAGCAGTAGACTCAAAGCTCGCGTTCCTCTTCCACGCATCTAGGCGTGCGTTGAAAAGGTTGATGATGCGGTCTACGAGCTTGAAGCGACTTCAGCATCCGGCAATACGACAGCAATGCCGCAGTACGTTTTATCCATCATCGAAAAAGGCGTGTCCTCTGCGAACGAATTTGCGACTGTGTACA